ACCCAAGAAAGAATACGAAGGAGGATGGGGACATCCTATTAAGAGTCCCACTGCGCTGCACATAAGAGCCATATGTCATACTGGCTCTAGGCTTGCGAGTAATATTGCTCTATTGCCATCTATTATATTTTATCCTATAATATTACACTATGATATTCTGTTTTTTTTTTCTAGAATCAACAGATGTGTGTTCCACGTATTGTATGTATTTATAGCAATTCGCCTCTAGCTCCAGAGCGCTTGGGTGCTGTGTATCCCATGCACCCGCCTTGCAGGCCACCTCATTTGTTCTCACTGGCCCAGGGCTACATTGTCTGGGTGACTGTAAGAAAAGGGTGCACAGCCATCCCCCTCTCACTAGCTGGACTATTCAATGTAGTTTAACCTCAGGGAACATGGTAGATGATCTTATTTATCCTCAAGGAGCAGTGAGCAGCTAACTGTCAGAAAGGATAAAATATGAAGAACACCCTCTACTGAGATCCACAAGGCTAAGTGGCATGCAAGAGGGGGAATGGTAAGCAGGCATGCAAGGTAGGAGAGGGTAAGCAGACACATAAGTAAGCTTAAGCGGGCATGCAAGGTGGGGTAAGAGAAACACAACTGGAACTGGGGGGAGTAATAGGCACAGAAAGTGGCCAAGTGGGAGTAAAACAGATCCACAAAAAAGCTGGAGGAGAAGACACACAAAGAGACTTAGGGATGAGAAAGAAACACAAAAAGGGGCTGGGGAAGAGAAAGAGACATGCAAAGTTTCTATGGGTAAAGTAAAAGACAAACAAACAAATAGGGGGAAGAGAAAGACACTTAAAGGGACTGGGGGAGAGCCACACAAAGGGGCTAGGGGAGAGTAAGAGGCATGCAAAGGGGCTGGAGACAAGTAAAAGACACACAAAGAGGCGGGGGATAGTAAGTAACAAACAAAATGTCTGGGGAAGAAAAAGAGACACAATGGGGCTGGAGGAGAAAGATACATAATGTAGCTGGGGGAGACATACAAAAAGACTGGGGGGAAATAAGAGACATACAAAAAGGGAAAGGAAAAGGAAAAGAAAAACAAAGTGGTAACGTAAGAGACACACAAAGGGGGGGGGAGCACGAAACACACAAGGAACCCTAAAAAGTTTGGATATGATACACTAAAGGGGATGTAATAAACAAAATGGGGACAACATACACTAAATGGGGTAAGGTACTCAAAAGAGGAGCTAAAAAACACAAAGGGGGCTAAAGGAGGTAAGAAATTACAAAATGTGGGTTAAGAGACACACAGAAAAATTAAAATGCTTTCTTAACTACAAGATTTACACCATTTTAATACTTCCCAGGCATCCGTTCAGCTTCCTTTCTGTCAGCTGGCCGCAAAGTTGAAGCATTTATTTGAGTAGCAGTGATAGACTGAGAGCATCAGCTTACATTCACAGCCAATAGCAAGTAATGCATCAGAAAGTATGCACTTAAAAAAAAATAATTATTTGCAATTTTCAGTGCAATTGTATATAACACATGAATGGCACATATGTTACACTGGTGTTCAGCATCAGTTACATGTGTTAGCATGACAAATCAGTTGTTATTACATGCATTAACATACATTACACTGTGTTTTACATTGCATATTAAGTTCAGTAGAGATTTGACATTAGGTCAACTTGAGAGAGGGGGAGGGAGGGGAGGGAGATGGGGGGTAGAAAGGGTATGTGGAGGTGGGTGGTTCAACATACCACCAAACATTCAGTGGTGTTATCCAGCTTTCAACTATTCCATCAAACATTTAACAATTTTAACAAATTTTAAACAGGTGTATCAACTGGATGTTCGCTTTTTAAGGAGAACAAGTTTGGTGTTTTGGGTATGTACTCATTTTGATTAGGGCTATGGGTCCGTTCTCTCAGAATTTCAACCCTTACTTAATCTTGGCTACAGCAGAGGGTTATATTTGATTGGGGGTGTGATCAGAATCCTGGTCTCCATACTGTGGTATTCACTGAGACATCCTTGCCCACATGCCTTGGGTGGCATCTGCCATGTGATTGGTTACCCATGCTGTCTCACATCATAAACATCTATATGGCCACAGCTGTCGGAATCGTAGGACCTGTCTCATACATGTTTAGATATTGTCCCAGGATCAGTAGAGCTATATGTAGAAGCTCAAGTGCATGAGGTAGCAACTTATGTTTTTACCCCTTGAATATTTCCATGGGGAATAATGGCATCATTGTTACTGGGAGTTTTCTGACTGTGTTGGTGCGTGAACTGAGCGAGAGGTAGGACTTCCACGTTGCCCATGCTGCTGTTACAAATGGCTTGGGGGGTAAATTTTTTCTCAACATTATTTCATATTGTCTCATGGTATCCAGTGTTTGGATGCATTGCATGATAGTTGGTGTGCTGGGTGAATGCCACATTCTACTTATTGTTGACAGGGCGGCTATAAGTATGTGGTAGACAAGGTATTTACAGTCTTTTGAGAGGCCCTTTGAGAAGAGGTGTTATAGGTACAATTCTGGTTGTTTCGATACCTTTATTCCTGAGCATTCCATGAGCTGTTCTACTTCAGTCCAGAATGTTGACAAGCATGAACAGGACCACCAAATATGGTGCATTGTTCCTTATTTAGACAAACAGCACCAACATTTATCTGACAGGCCTGGGTTACTGTGTTTTAATCATGTAAGTACTAGATACCATCTGTACAGGATCTTCCATCTGTACAGGATCTTCCATTTACAGTATCATATGATATCACAGTTTGTTTTTTTGACCATGAGAGCATTTGTATATGTGAGAATTTAGCCTTGTTGGGCTGTCTATATTTTTTCTGTAATTCCTCAAAGTTTCTCGAGCTAGGCCCTTGAAATATGTGGTAGAGGTGTGTTATGCCGTGCCTATGCCCTATTTTATTATTAAAGTCTGGGATGAAGGAGGGTAGCGCAGCAAGTGGAAATGCGAGCAAGATCCCCTTGTGTTAAGCATGTGTGTCTTGGAATTGATCCCAGATTTGGAGTGAGTCTAGTGGTTGTGAGTATGTCTCTATTTTTTGCTCTCAACTCTTTAGGCATCCACGCCAGCACTGTAAGAGTGATATTAGTGTAGGTTACTTCGATATCAACCAATGGGGATGTTTGGGGTGGCTGCTTGTTGACAGTAATGGGCTGATTATGGCTGCTTTATAATCCCATCCCATCTTGTGAAAACGGTTTGTAGTTTTTGCTACTCTTGGTTTCGAGTTATTCAATATGAAGTCATTAATAAGTGATTGTGCTTCCTTGAAAGTATCGGGTTGGGAGCCGGAGCGGCAGAGTGCAAATAAGTACAGGAGCCCCGGGATGATTAGCATTTTAATGGCTGCTATTCTGCTTGTCCACGATATAGATTTTCCTTTCGAGCCCTGTAGTTGATTTTTTATATATCAGTTAGCAGGGTTAGATAATTTGCATTGAGGAGGCCTGAGATCTGTGATGTTATGACGATACCTAGATAGTTCTGAAAATCTGTGCGCCATTCGTATGCAAATGTACTTTAAGTTTGTCAGTGAGTGTCTTGGGATGTTAATGCCAATGGCTTGTGTTTTCGAGAGGTCAATCTATAATACGAGAATTTACTGTGCTTATATAGTTACATAGCTGAAGAGACTTGCGTCCATCAAGTTTAGCCTTCCTCACATATGTTTTTGATGTTGATCTAAAAGAAGGCAAAAAAAACTTAGTTTGAAGCGCTTCCAATTTTGCAACAAACTAGGAAAAAATTATTTCTTGACCCCAAAATAGCAGTCAGATGTCTCCTTGAATCAAGCAGCTATTACCCCACTAATTAGAAATTATATCCCTGTATGTTATGTTTTTGCAAGTATTTATCCAATTGCAGTTTAAACATCTGTATGGACTCTGATAAAACCACCTCTTCATGCAGAGAATTCCATATCCTTATTGCTCTTACTGTAAAAAAGTATTTTATTTGCCTTAGATGAAATCTCCTTTCTTCCAGCCTAAATGTGTGACCTTGTGTTCTATGTATAGCCCTGTTTATGAATAGATTTCCAGATAAAGGTTTGTACTGGCCCCTAATTTATTTGTATAATTTTATCATATCCCCTCTGAGGCGCCATTTTTCCAAACTAAAGAGATTTACATTTTTTAACCTCTCGTCTTAACTAAAATGCTCCATTCCTTTTATCAATTTTGTAGCTCGTCTCTGCACTTTTTCTAGTGCCATGATATCTTTCTTTAGAACAGGTGCCCAAAATTGCACAGCATATTCAAGGTGTGGTCTTACCAGCGATTTATAGAGATGCAAAATTATATTTTCATCCCGAGAATTTATGCCCCTATTTATGCATGACAAAATCTTACTGGCTTTAGCAACTGCAGATTGACAGAACTGCAGATTGACAGATTGCATATTGCTGCCTAATTTGTTGTCTATAACAATTCCCAAATCCTTCTCGTGTGTGGTTATCCCTAGTTCACTCCTGTAACGGATCGCCTGGCACCCCGACTGGGTACCTCCGTTAAAGGATGCTCCTAGCGCTTCCTGAGGACTCCAAGCACTGCAGCAGACACCACAATCACCGAACCAGAGAAGCGTATACCTTCTCTCAAGCATATGAATGCTGTAGACAGTTGAATAGGAACCATACGAATAGGTTTACTCTCCTAGCAGTCAAACTGGAACAGCATACAATAAATCCTTCCCCAATAATGAGACGACACTTCACTTTGAGGGTTAAAACAGGAACTCTCTGTACTGTCACATACAGTCTCTTTTATTCCCAATCCACAAACATAGTACAGCCCACAGGGCGTTACAAAACAACCAATCAATCCGTACAATACACCCAGACACTCCCACACAAAATCCTCCCCTCTGCATGTGATATGATTACTGAACACAATGGGTAATCTCATTATCACCGGCAGAGGAATACAGTTTTTACACAATATTTATAACTTCTAAAATATACATGTCACAAACATAAAACATACATTTTCATAATCAATCCATTCAGGGGAACAACATATTAAAAAATGGCACGAATCAGACCAGGGGTTCAAAAGTTAAGGGAAAGTCCTTTGTGACTAAATGAAGCATGGCTTTCCGGCCCAAACCAGTTTCAGAGTCTTCTATCCTGGAGATTGAATTGAGAAGTAATTCAATTATCTCCCAGGACAGACACAAGACTCCATTAAGCACATGGTTGCAAAAAGACACAAAACACTTTAAAATACATAAAGGCACCTTTTACACATAAGACACAGACATTTCACATATCCCCAGATAGCTGGGATCTGAGCGCACAAACCTACCGAATAGCGCTCAGATCCTATTCACACAGTTCAATTGCCATGGAGCCGAAGTCTTTAACTACACGAATGGGCTCCATGGCATAGCTATCTGGGTTAACACATTCACATAAAGTCTGGTCCATAGTCCAAAGGCAAGAGGCGGGCAAGCAGCCCCCTCCAAGGACACGTGGCGAGGCCGGTTTCGCCACAACTCCCATTTAGGGTGTAAATTGCTTGTGCATTCTTGACCCTGAAGTGCATACATTTAATCTGCCATTTTACTGCCCAGTCCCCCAATCTATCCAAATCCCTCTGCAGCAAAGCAATATCCTGCTCACATTTTATTACTTTACAAAGTTTTGTGTCATCTGTAGAGTTGAGCGGACACCTGGATGTCCGGGTCCGGCAGGTTCGGCTGAACTTTGAAGTCAATGGGGACCCGAACTTTTGGCCACAAAAATGCCTCTTAAAAACTCCTGGAAAGGGCTAGAAAGCTGCAAAAGGAAGTAAAATGGGGGTAAGAGTAGGGCAAGTGCTCTGCAAACAAATGTGGATAGGGAAATCATTTAAAATAACATAAAAATTTAAAATATAGCTGAGCCATAAAATAGCACTAGATGGAATCTTTGATTTTAGCTTTGGAAGAACATAAATCAAAATCTAAAGCATGGCTGTCAGGAGGATCACCAGAATTATCCATTTGAGAGAGGGTTGGAGTGCAGGGTATTCTCTTTCATTGTTCAAACTGAGCTCAACTCCTGATGCATGGAGAAAAGGCCGCTGCTAATGTGTACCTAGTTTATACTAAGTGACCCATAGGTTGAGGAGGCGGTGACCGTGGCGGTGGAGGAGGAAGCAGCGGTGGAGGAGAAGGATGAGGTAGCCAACACTGTATTTTCTGTTTTTTTTAATTGTGGTAGCCCACAAAATATTGGGACATACAAATAAAGAAACATTTGCGGCCTGCAGTGCATTTCTTGCAGTCCTGATGCATGGAGAAAAGGCCTTCACAAGCCTCTGCTAATGTGTACAGGCCGCAAATGTTTCTTTATTTGTATGTCCCAATATTTTGGGCCTACCCCAATAAAAAAAAATATATATATATATATATATACATATATATTTTTATTTAATTGGGGTAGGCCCAAAATATTGGGACATATAAAAAAAGACAACTCTGTTCCGCAGAGTAGCTGTTGACATTATAGTTGCGCAGGAACTTTGTTGACTCTAGAGGACCTCAGGCAAATCGCACATCCCCGTGGCAGTGACTTTGCATGCGGATGTCATCCATATCAACTTTCGATGCCAGTTTCTGCACCTACCATGGTGACCACGGGTAACGGGGAATCAGGGTTCCATTCCGTACAGGGACCCTGAGAAATTGCTACCACATGCAAGGAAGGCAGCAGGCGCGCAAATGACCCACTCCCGACGTGGGAAGGTAGTGACGACAAATAACAATACAGGACTTTTTAGAGGCCCTGTAATTGTAATGAGTCCACTTGAAATCCTTTAACTCCGATCAATTGGAGGGAAGTCTGGTGCAGAGCCACTGACCCATGCGTGCTGCAGCTGAAACTCCACTATCGCCTGCTGCAGCTTGCAAAGTCTCATGAGGCGGTGAGCGGGAAGGCCGAAGACAGGCGAGCAGCAGCAGGGTGAAAACGCCAAAAGCGCGCACAGCCGCTACAGTGAATGTCACATCCTGACAGTGTCTGGGTCCTGGTCACCGGACTGCCCACCTCACTGTAAAACTACGAATGGATCATTAAATCTGGTACGAACCCAAACTTTGCAGTTCGGGTTCGCTCAAGTCTATTATGGATCATTTGATCCCTGCATGTATTACTTGGATAACTGGTAATGCACGAGCTAATGCATGGGAGGGGACGGCCGCTCCGCTTTTGCACCCTGCTCCCTCTTATGCTGTGCTGGTGCCTCTGTGCCACAGAGCCTCTTCCTCCAAACTGCACACGTCACTCGCATGACCTTGATTTCATGTGGGGTCTAGGACCTCATCATCCTCCATATCATCTTCCACCCACTCCTCAACCTTGCCCTCCTTGCCGGTATGCACACTGCAGAAAGCCACAGCAGTTGGCACCTGTGTTTTTCCAGCATGTAAAGTCTGCAAAGGACATATGGAAATTGTTTTAGAATTGTATCCAGGCAACAGTTTTCCCCTATAAACTGGCCTCTCAGTTTGACTTGTGAGAGTATTGCCCCAGAATTACAATATTGTTGAAGTACCTCTTAGCTATTGATCACGGGTTTAAATATCGCAGCTTGTTATCTGGTAGTTTCTAGTATAGAAAATATAAATCTGTTTTCTATCACTTAGATCTGTGTAACAAGTGTTGTAGGTCTGAAACAATTTTACAAGTGACCGATGTAGTAAATTCTAATAAAAGTTATGCTTCAATTTGACTCTCAGATATGAAGTGAACACCTCAAATATACTATTTAGCACCAAAAATAAAAATAAAAATTGACTTTTTAAAACTCCAATGTAAGCAGCAGATTAGCAGCAAAACAATTAGAATGTTTACAAGTGCGCTGTAAGCACACTATTAGACGCTTCTATTTGACTCTCAGATATGAAGAACAGGCCCCAAAATGTACTATTTAGCAGATTAGCAGCAAAACAATTAGAATGTTTACCACTGCGCAGTAAGCACACTATTAGACGTTTCTATTTGACACTCAGATATGAAGTGCACTTATGTACTTTTTAGCACCCCAAAAATTTTAAGTTTTAAAACTGCAATGGGACAGCAGTATTTGACGATTCTATTTGACTCTTAGATGTGAAGTGCACCCCACTAATGTACTATTTAGCACCAAAATTAAAAATTACTTTTTAAAACTCCAATGTAACCGCGGTATTTGAAGCTTCTATTTGACTCTCACCCCACTAATGTACTAGTTTGCAGAATTCTTTGCTAAGCTGTCCTCATCCGCAGCATCCTCTCCCTACACTAATAAGACCGCATGTGCGTGCGGCACTACGCTACTCTAGCTTATATATAGAGTCTGGGTCACATGCTGCACTGGCCAATCACAGCCAGGCCATTAGTAGGCATGGCTGTGATGGCTTCTAAGGAAACACAAGTCAAACGCTTGTTGATTGGCTGCCCTGCGGCCTTTGAAAACGCGCCATTAAATCGTCGAACATCGAACTCCAACCCGAACATACAGTGATATGTAAGTGTTCGGGTCCAGGCTCCAAAAAAACCAATGTTCGGTACGAACCCGAACTTTTCAGTTCGGGTTCGCTCAACTCTAGTCATCTGCAAACACTGATACATGGCTTTCAATGCCTATTTCAAGATCATTTATAAATATGTTACATAGAAGCGGTTCCAAAACAGAACCCTGAGGGACACCACTTACCACTTTTGTCCAGCCTGAAATTTTACCATTAATGACAACTCGTTGTACTCTATCCTTAAGCCAATGTTCTACCCAAGAACAAGAATATTCATCCAGACCAATTTCTTTTAGTTTGAAGACTAACCTATTGTGAGGAACCGTATCAAATGCCTTGGCAAAATTCAAATAGATCACATCCACTGCAACACCCTGATCTATACTTCTACTTACTGTAGGAGGAGATTGTGGAAATTCGGGAGGGAGATGTTGGGTTGTTCAAGTGTTAACAGGATATTGTCTGCGAAAAATGTTAATTTATACTCTCGTTTTTTTTATCTTTACACCATGTATGTTAGGATTGTCTGATTAGTTGGGTCAAGGGTTCTAATGTCAAAATGTAAAGGATGGAGGAGAGCGGACAGCCTTGTTGTGAACTATTGGTAATCGTAAAGCTGCAGGACATGAAGCCTCCATTGACCCCTTGTACCAATGGATGAGAGGATAGTGCAGTCACCAAAGAGATGGGGGAACCCAAATTTCCCTAGGACTGCGAGGAGGAAGGGCCAGTGAAGCCAATCAAAGGCTTTTTCCGCATCTAGCGAAAGGAGTACACTGGGGTTCCTCCACCCCGCAGCCCACCCAACAGGTCCAAGACTTTCCTAGTACCATCTGCACCCTGGCACCCACTCACAAACCCCACTTGGTCTGCGTGAATGATCGTGGGGATAATTTGGGTTATTCTTATTATTATTATTATCGCCATTTATATAGTGCCAACAGATTCCGTAGAGCTTTACAATATTATGAGAGGGGGGATGTAACTATAAAAAGGATAAGTACAAGAAAAGTTACAGGAACAATAGGTTGAAGAGGACCCTGCTCAAATGAGCTTACAGTCTATAGGAGTTGGGGTGTAAAACACAATATTCTATTGGAGTATATTTTGGCAAGTAATTTACTATCTGTATTGAGTAGTGAGATTGGTCGTAAATTTGGATTGGTCACTCCTTAGATGGTCACTCCTTAGATGGCTGTTAGAGATCCTTCCTGGATCATGGCTGCCTAAAATGCATCCAAACATTCAGTGTCTCCACCCTCTGCATGCAGACACTGAACTTTCCTCATAGAGATTCATTGATTCAATTCACCTCTATGAGGAGATGCTGATTGGCCAGGGCTATGTTTGAATCATGCTGGCTCTGCCCCGATCTGCCTCTTTATCAGTCTCAGCCAATCCTACGGGGAAGCATTGTGATTGGATCAGGCCACCACTTCTAATGATGTCAGCAGACTGCTTGTTTTTCTGATTCTAACTGCATGCAGAGTCAGTGGCGGCTCTAGACTTTGTGAGGCCTTAGGCGAAACGCAAACATGAGGCCCCCACTAACACCTAGAGTTAAAAAAATGTTTTTGTTTTTTTTTAAATAGGGGTTGCATTGTGTGCATAACGTGCTGTAGTTGTATTTAAGGACAAGCAAATTTAAATAGCAATTATGCCAATCGTTTATACATGGCTGAGTTACATAGCCTTGCAGTCGTGTATACATAAGTGCCGGTGTGTGTATTTCTGAGTGTATCTGGCATTGTCTACC